GGTAAAGAGGGGATACCTTCTTAAACTGATAGACTTCCTGACTTCTTTCAGCAGGGTATTGTTTTAAATCAGCCTTGCAGATAAAAATAAATTACATCTTTTTCAAAGAAGTGAACAGTTCCTTGGCAGATCCAAAATGATAATGGTTATGGTCCTCTTTCTGCCGCCCCTTGCCAAAAAATAAATACCTATCTATATCAGTTAAGCTTATGCCTTTACAAAAGTTAATTTACGTTCTCTGTTTAAAAAAATAACATTTAGTGAATGCTATATAGTTGACAGAACACATTTACAGACATTATTTAATTTAGTGTTTCCAAGAGACCTCTCATGTAACTGGCATTAGCCCCATTTTTAGATAATGAAACTGCAGCGCAGATGTTCCGGTTCTCTCAGCTACTGAGAGGCATAACCCATGGGTTTTCTAAAGGTTTCCCAAATAGATTACGACCTAAGGGTGTGCCAGGGGAGCCTAGGGGAAGCTAGACTGGGCATTGAACACTGATAGTGCAAAATCCACATGCAAACAAGATCGACAGGGTAAACATATACTGTGCATTATCCCCATATCCCCATCCCCCACAGTTTACAGCTTTCTGCTTTTCTGAGGGTTTCAGCCTATGAGACAAACTATAATCAGGCTTAATTATTACTTTTCACATGGCCAAGGGTTATCTGCAATGTTGATCTAAAATCCGAAAAATTTGCCCTGAAGTCAGGCAAAGAACAATACTGAAACTCCATACTATGGAAACAAGGTATCTAGCTGGATGCAGCTGGTAAATTCAGTCCCATGGACCTTTGGGGGTTTATTTTCCTTAGCAGCTGACACCATGTGTCTTTTGCATCCCTGGTGGTGCTTGGTGCTTCTGCCCATCTGGGCTCATTGAGAATAGGGATCAAGGTATGATTTTAGGGAATTTCTGATGGGCTGGCATTCCCCATGTATGTATAAGTTGTTACTATAAAGTCATGTGACTGGCATTTTAACAGACCTTCCAGAGCTTATATATCCCAATATATGTTGTCTCCTTTGAGTAGCCCCAGCAGGATACTGCTTAGTTTTTCCAATGCCATTGGTGAAAGCATTTCTGGAACTGTCTTCAAAGACTAGAAACACTGACTCCCAAAATGCTAGAACTGGAAGGGACCTTAATGGTTATCTATTCCAGCCTACTCCTAAGGTCCTCCTCAGCTTCTAGACCTAGAAGCCAAAGCCCAGAACAGTGACCCATTGATTAAGTCAGATAGTGTAACTCCTTTTAAGTGTTCGCAGATTTGCTTTCTTTTTCTTAGGGCAAATCTTCAGTGTTTTGTGGTGGTTTGTGGTTAGGAGAGAGAATTTAAAGTCTGAGACTAGTCGGCAGCTATTTGAAGCCTCTGGGAAAGAAGGTGGCTTATCAAGTGGGTTTGCAGTAATAAATGGAGTGCTGCTGTAAAGCAGTCAGAGCCATTTTCTTGTGCAGCTCATAGTTCCCAAACAGTTCCCAAAGAGAAGTTCCAGAGATGTCTTAAACATTGTGGTCATCATTGAGATAGGTAAAATCTCTTTGATGACTACTTCGGTGGGGAACATCACTCACCTGAATGTATGTATTCTGTGTTCTGTGTGTGTGTGCACATGTGCAGATGTATGTTTTAAAAAACATATGTCAATCTCATGATTTTATAGTCACACCACTTCAGTTTTAGGCCCTACCAACAACTTATGTTCTCCAAGGGCTGCTGGAGGGCGTGTTTGTGCCCAAAACAGAAGAGCTGGCTGTGGTTTACAGAAGACAGGGAGGGTTACCTTACCATAAATGCCCTTAGAGGAAACTTACCAGTTACTGCCATTTCACGCATTTCCTTTTTGATCTTAGTAAATATTATTGGAAGGCAAATCTTGTTGGTAGGAGCAAAAACACTTATTTTTCCACTTGCCATCTTTTTCTATATCTCCAGTAATTCGAAAAACACTTTTCAGTTGGAATTGATTTTTGTCTTTGGTGAAAAGAAATATTTTTAATAGATAAAAGATATATATTTTAAATATTTCCCCAAATTAATACTTTCATTTTAAGAATTGCATAGCAGTTGCAACAAGTGCAGAGTGAAGAACAAATTCTTGTTAAGCAAATATTCCAAACACTAGGTCCAGCTTACTGCCTTCCCCCCTTGTACCTACAGTGATGCCTAGGATGGTATTGGCAGTTGTTTTCTGAACTTCCTGCTGAGCAACAGTCCTTCAAATATAGGTAGAGTGGTCTAGGTTAAGGAGGGCGGAGGCTTGAGCTTTAATCAGGTTGGCTTTGGAGAAAGGAAAAACCACTAAGATAATTATCTGTATTTTAAGATGTTTCCCATCCTTAGTAACTAAAACCTGAATGATTTTTCTTTCTGAAAACTCTCCCTCTCTCCTTCCATGATTGTGAAGTTGGTTACAAGTCGATATGTTAATATGGATTATTTGGGGGAAACGAAAAGGACAAGGAAGGAAACAGAACAATGGGAGGGTTTGTGAGCTAGAATAAGAGGTGCAGGATTTCACAAATTCCTCACAAATCACTGAAGTTGACCACACAAATTACCCATGTCTTACTCTGTTCCTTGTACATATGCAGTCTGTGGGTTTTTTTATTATTAAAGGGGAAGGTATGAGAGGTGGGAGGGTGAAGGTCAGTCTGAGGGGAAATCCAAGAAATGTGGTGCCCTCAGAAGGGGGCTGTCAGCTCCTTTCCATAGAGAGGGAAACATACTTTGAGAAAATGTTCTTGACCTGTTGATTGTATGTGCTGGAAGAAGTCATCTGGGCCGGTTGGGTTGGTAGCAAATCAGGGGACTATGTATCCAGCTCCTGGCCCCTTTCATATAATTGCCTCTGTTTTAAAAAGGTTAAGTCTTGTTGGGTGAGGCTTGCCAGGAAAACTCCTAAGTGGCTTCACTTATTTTTTAAATTTAAATTTAATTTTTAAATTTTTGCTTGAAAGAAGCACTGGTAATAAGTGTTTTATTTTTTGTTCATTTTCCCTAAAGGAAAAATGTCCTTAAGAGATTAAAGCTCTTAATTGACTACTGTCTGGTTACAAACTGGCAAACTGACTAAAATGGGAAGCTGCCACCGTGCCTGACTCATGCAGCTGATGACCGAAGGCTATTCATCCTTTCTTTTCTATTTGACAAACATTTACTGAGCTTCAGACTTGTGCCAGCCCTGAGCTGGACTGTGGAAATAAAGTAGTTCCTGCTCTTGAGGAGCTCGATGTCTAATGGAATGCATTTGAATGTATGTGTGGCTGGGGAGTTTATTTATGGTCTTAGGAAAGCCATTTCTGGTCCCATTTAGGATACTGCTCAGCACCCAGCAGGCTGCATTCTACATTTTAGAGACCCCATCGGTATTTGTGAATTTGCACCATTGCTTTTCTTTTACTAAGTCATGTTATGGAAGGAGAATGAATTTTCTCTTCTAGTAATTACAGGACATTAACATCTCTTCAGATGCTGCTTTTAGCTTAAGCTCCAAGAAATGAGGTGGGTTGTGGATCACTGACATGGTCAGGGGAGGCCCACACCTCAATTTAGTAACCTCCTAATCTCTCCCCCAACCTGGCCTCTCCTCAGAGCTGGCAGCAACTTGGGATTCCTTTCCTTTTTCCTGCCTAACTTTTCATTGAAATGTCTAGTAGGAGAATGGGAAAAGAGAAGAATCAAAGGCTGGGTCACAGTCATAGAATGTTATAGCTGGAATGGGCATGGAAATCATCCAGGTTAAATTTCTTCTCTGCCCCCCCCCTCCACCCCCCTCTTTTTTTTTTTTTAACCAAACGAGGAACTTGCGATCCAGTGCCCTATTTTATAGTGTAGTTTTCTAGGGTCTGAATAAATAATCGTTAAAGTTTGACACACACAGACATACACACCAATGACGGGGATACCCCCAAATGATTTAGGAGGCTATTTTACTAGCTTTTTCTTCCTGATTTTTTCAGTTAAATATACCTATAGACCCTGAATACATGCTCAGGTAGAGAAAGTCTCCATAGTATAAGTAAGTAATATGAATGTGGAATCTTGGAGAGTGATGTCTTTTGATCGGAATAATTTTAATTTAATGATTTTAATTAAGAATTAAAAGCCAGCTAGCCAAATTTTCTTTAAAAACTGGAAACTCACTCTGGTCTTAAATTGTTCTCAGCCACCCTTTTCCTCATCAACCCATAGAGTGGTCTTTTGAACTGGTATCTAAACACAGCTGGTTATGAATTCTCAAAGAGAAAGCAGGTCTGGGGCAGGGTGGTCGTGGGGCAGATTCTAGGGAAAGTGTTGAAGAGATTTTTCTTCTGAAGATGATCTAGGAAATGCATCTTTATACATGACTTATCCGCTGTAGCTTTCGGAAGAAGATCATAGAAAAGAGACTAAGATATATGCAAGGGTCACCAGTTTAGAGATTAGTCAAATTAGATGAAGGAAAAAGTGCCAAGACTGGATGTGCAGATTATTCTATGTATTATCAGTATTTTTTTCCTCCTAAGAAAAAAATTTACTCTCCTTTGTGAGTAAATGCCTCCGTAATGCCTTTTGAGTAAGGTGGCAACTTTTAGCCATCATCTTGTGAGAGGCAACCTCAAACTCTGAGCAGACTCCCTCTCTCCCTTTCTGGTGTCTTAAGAACTAGTTTGAAGCCAAGGCAAAGCAAGGTTTGTTTATCTTCCTTTCCTGTCATTTAATATAAGGTAAAACAGGCAATGAACTCACTCTTCAAATACCATAGTTCAAGAGTAGCTGTTGGCCCTGGTTCCAGATTAATATAGCAGCAGGCAGATTGCCCCTTGTTGGGGCCACCACCCTCCAAAGCTGTGCCACCAATGAGAGCAGGAGTTCTTCCTCATTGGGTTCAAGTTTGCATCAAACATGGTATTACCAACGCTGAGCCTCCAGCAGAGCACTTAAAGTCCTAGTGAGAGAATAGATACTATGCAAGGGAAAAAAATTTAAATGCCAACAAATAGTTGTTGTTTTTTTTTTTTTTTTTTTTTGAGCCTGATATACTGTTTACTCTCAACTCTTTGTACAAATATTGTTGTCCTAAGGGCCTTTTCCCCTCCTGCCTAGAAAATAGGTTGTGTGTTCGTTTTATTCAACCTGCTGTCTGCTTTAGGATTGGAGAAGGTACCTGGATCCTTGCGGACTGCCACTGCTGGCTGCCTCCTCTCCAACTCATCAGAAGAACATTTTGACAAAGACAGAGGACTTGGACCAGGGCATGCCCTGTTGGGGATGCTTCTGTCAGCAAGGACATGGCATGGAATCAAGTGGGCTGATGTGTTGTTATTTAAACAGTACCAAAGCGCATTCTTCAATGTATGTTTGCCTGCTTGAGGTGAGGCCCAAGTTGAGAATACAGTAAAGAAAACTCATGAAAGTGGATGTTCTGTTTCTAGTCAGTCTTGTCTCTGGAGAACAATCTCAGACAAAAACATGGGTTAAGCTTAAGCTGTGTGTGGATTGTTGGTGCTGTATGTGCTCTGGGAAATGCCCTATGTTGAATGTCTTGCTTTGGTATTCAGAACGGCGGTAAAGATTAGGAGCAGGGATGGGGTTTCCATGGTATACAACTGTGTCTTTTGGCATAAGTTATCTCCAGTTTACAGTTTGCTCCAATTTACTGTCATGTTCACATTCAACCATTCATGCTCCTAATGAAGGAACCAAGAAAGAGTGTGAGTAAAGAATGAATATACAGGATGACACTGTCCCTGCACACTAGGGTTGTACTCAAAAGATCTGGTTTCTAAAAATACCCTTTTTGGAGCCATTGTTCAGGAATTTGTTAAGATCCCCCTGGTGTCAGTTTCTTATACAACAGAGAACAAATGTATCCCTGTTGCATCTGAACTGGAAAACCATTTTTAGAGGGAAGTGTGACAGTGCTGCTGTGGCCTGGGTTCCAAGAAAGAATGCATGTGGCACCCAGTCTATTGCCCTGTGCACCCACTCTTTATTGCTGCTGGGCCAGGCACCCCGTCATGCCTGGCCCAAGGAGGGGAGATCCTAACAAGGGGAGGCCACCTTGTGGCCAGCGAGTGGGGCCCAGCTGAGCTCTGAGGCCTGTGGCCGGCTGGTCAACCTCGAGGTGCGGTCCAGGGCACAGAGCCCTTAGGGAGAGCTGAGGCACAGGCTGGATGATGCGCACAGCCCCCATGCACAGCCCTAGCCTTGTGAGTCACTGGCTGTGGGCTCCTGGCAGAACTCATCCATGAACTCGAGGAAGCGGCCGAACTTGGGCTGACTCTCACTCAGCGCTGGGCAGGCTGGGGGAAGCGGGGTGGTCCCGAACACTGTCTGCAGAGAGCCACTCACCAGCTGCCGGTAACGTGCTTGGAACTCCTTCAACAGCCTCTTGGCCTCCAGGTACTGCTTGTGGTTCACCAGCCGCCGTTCTGTCCGCCGGTGCAGGACAGCACCTGCAGGAAAAGAAGCCAGGAGAGGCACCAAGCTCACCCTGGTTCCCACCCAGCCGGAAGCAAGAGGATTGGGTCCAGAGACCCTTGGAAAGTGGGATGGCATGACAGGAGGATGCTAAGGAGCTGAAAATGGCCTTTCCAGCTTGGGGCAGTAGGAAGTCAGTGGTATGCCCTCTTGACTCTATCTTAAGCTCTGGTTCAAGACCTTAACATGCTATGTGATTTTAGGCAACTCCAGGCCTCATGCTGGCTCTCCTTTTCTCCATCTACATACAGAGATTGATGTAGGTAGTTGCTCTCTAGGGGCCTTTCCTGCACTGACACAAGCCCTTTCTTTGCCTTTAGTCAGCAGGAGTGAACTGGATCTGGGATCCTGGCAGCTGTGGCAGAGCCATACCTAGTGGAGCCTCTGTAATGTTCCGGGGATCCCGCAAGCGAATGAAGATGTCATCCAGCAGTTGGGTTCTAGTCTTCCTTGGGGGTGGAATCGGGATCCTCTGGGCCTGGCAGAAGGTCATGGAGGAGGGTGTTATCCCAGGTTTATGCACAGACTTTCCTAGCCTAACTTCATATAGTCACAGCAACAGGCTGAGGAGCATCTGGGGGTGCTGGGAAAGCATGGCCCTCAGAGGGTCCCAAGGTGACAGCCACATCTGTACCTGAGGGGGTTACTCAGGGGCCATTTACACACTCAATGAGCTGGATGTTTACCCTTTTCTCTTTGGGAACATAGGGTTTCTGAAGAGTGTCCAGCTTGGGCTTGGAGGAGTGGCACAGGAGTGGGTGCTTCAGCATGTGTTGCAGGGCCTGTGCATTCTTCTGGATTCCTAGGGCAAGAAGGCGACTGAGTCAAGGCACTGCCCGTCCTCCCAGATGCCTCCCCTGATTGCTTCATTCCTCAGTCTCACAGCAGCTCTAGGTAAAAGGATTTGAGAGTCCCCAAAAGAAAACACTGCTCCCAGGTTTCTTCCGGGTCTGTTCCAGTGCCTGAACGTCCATCATTCTTCAGTGAGTATTTGTCCCATATTATAACGGAAAAATAGCACAGATTGTAATGGGACGATCATATTGGAGTAGGGGAAAAGGCTGGCTCCAGTGCGACCCCGTTAACCTCAGGGGGTTATATCGCAGGGGCTGATATCCAGAACAGTCCAGCTGAATGCCAGTTGCTTTGGAAGTACAGATTAACACAGAGATGACGCTGCCTCCTTTGCCTCCAACCAGATAGGAAGGATTTCGGACGTTCAGTTTGGGAACTTAACCTGGGCTGGGAAAAGCTCAAGAATCTAGCCAGTCTGGGTGTTCATTCATCAAACTTTTCCTGAGGAGAGACTTCATCATCCAGAACAGCTAGGCTGAGACCGACTACAATCTCTGAATAAACTGTGGTTCCCTGTAAGCCAGTGAAGGCCCAAGCCAGGACAGGGGTCCCAATATGTGGGGCTTCAAACAAAGGACACCCTAAAAGGAGCCCTTTGACAGGTATTTAGACAGAGGACAGCACCCTAGTTGGGAAAAGACAGCTTGGTGCCAGCCTTGGCTTGACCCTGACTTGCTCTGGGCTGTGGAGATGGCCTCTTGCCCTGGAGCAAGGATATGCTCTCACATACCCTTTGGCTCAATGAAGGCTGGATCAGGCTTGGCTGTCAGCAGTTCTTCATAGCCGTGGTACTTGCTGGGAAGGGAGGCAGTTGTGAGCTTCCTCCGAGTCACTTTCACCTCTCTGGGTGCCGTTGGTGGTTTCTTTTGGTCTTTCTCCTTCAACTCTAAATCATCCTTATGGATGATGGAGGAAGGCAGTTCACTCACCTGTGCCCAGGAAGAAAACACATTCATTTGTCATTCATTCATTCATTCATTCATTCATTCATTCACTCATTCCATGAACATTCAGAGCATCATCTCTGTGCTGGTCTCTGCTGGGCCCTGTTAAGGGCAAGGGTAAGACCAAGACTGGGATGGAAGGAGGCAGACATAAAAATAGACAGTTAATAAATGCTTTAACAGAGGGAATACAGTGGTTTTGGGTGATCCCAGAGGAAGCCCAAACCTAGCCAAGAAGCTCCCTTGGAGGAATGTCTTAGCCTGAGCTAAGTCTTAAAGAGCCAGGAGAGCCATCCCTACGGAGCAATGGGGAGACGTGTAGACTGCAAGTGATGAGAAAGAATGATTGTTTCAGACAAGGAACAGCATGAGCAAAGGTGCAGAAGTAAGAAACATCAAGGTTCATTTTGGGGGAACTAAAGATTGGTACAGTTAAGTAAAATGTGGAGAGACAGGCAACTGCAGTGGTAAGCAGGACCCAGATCAGTAAGGACCACTATATGCCAAGCTGAGGGTGTGTTTTATTTTGTACTTTATCCTCACTCTGATGGCAAACCATGGAGGATTTTAGCCTATCCTAATGGCTTTATAAGAAATCTGTATGTCATGTAGGGATGTAGTTATTTATTAAAATGACTCAGCAGGTGGGGTAGCACATGCCTGTAGTCCTAGCTACTCAGGAGGCTGAGGTGGGAGGACTGCTTGAGCTCGGAAGCTCTGGGCTATAGTGCATTATGCTCCTCGAGTGTCCACACTATGTTTGGCATCAATATGGTGACCTCCCAGGAGTGGGAGACCACCAAGTTGCCTAAGGAGAGATGAACTTGCCTAGGTAGGAAATGGAGCAGGTCAAAACTCACATCCTGATCAGTAGTGGGATAGTGCCTGTGAACAGCCATTGCACTACAGCCTGGGCAACACAGTGAGACCCATCATGTATATACGTGTGTATTTGTGAATATACGTGTATATATACACACGTATGTGTATACAATATATATGACCTATAACAAGCAAAAAAGCTGAATTAGCAATTTTTAAACTTCCCACAAAGAAAAGCTAAGGACCAGATGGTTTCACTGGTGAATTCTACCAAACATTTAAAAAAGAATTCTTCCAAAAATTAAAAGAGGCTTGTTATCTGAGGTTAGTATTAACCTGAAATTCAAACTAGGGAAAGACATTATAAGAAAGGAAAAATACAAAGCAGTATCACTTATGAATATAAATGCAAACGTTCTCAAAAAATATTAGCAAACTGAATTCCACAAGTAAAGGGAATTATATACTATGACCAAGTGAGATTTATCCTAGGAATGAAAGGTTGGTTTAACATCTGGAAATCAATTAATGTAATATATCAATAAAGGAACAAAACCATATGATCATCTCAATAGACACAGGAAAAGCCCACTCTGTCATGATTAAAAAACACTCAAACTAGGAATACAAAGTAACTTCCTCAACCAGATAAAGAGCATCTATGGAAAACCCTCACCTAATATCATAATTAATGGTGAAAGACTGAATGCTTTCCCCTTAAGGACAGGCACAAGACAAGGAAGTCTGCTCTCACCACTTCTATTCATCATTGTATTAAAGGTTATAGCCAGGACAACATGGTGACTCATAATTGATTGCATGGCTTTGGCCGCTAGGAGGTCAGAATTGCATTTTGTCAAAACATCTTTATCATAATAGCAGCAGTGCATGATGTGCATGTTTGAGTGACAGAATTACTCTTGTACTATTTCCTTTCCTGTCCATATTTTCCATCTAACTCTCTCAAATTGTTTCTTTTAAAATGCTTATTTATATTCTGCATTGCTCCAAAAAGGTTCTGAGATAGTTCTTTAAGATACTTTTATACTGTATAAATTTATATGTCACTATAAGTCATCTGTGGAAAAAGAAATAGATGGATGGAGAGTTAGACCTCCATGAATGGATGGATGTACATCCGGGAAAGATCTGGCAGTGAGCAGATTGGAGGGGCAAGACTGGAGGCAGGGAGATCAGGGAGAAGGATGGTACAGTAATAAAGTTCAAGGGGGCCCTGCCAACTATTCTAGCCTTACGTTACCCTTTGCCACATGCCACCCTTCTGCTGCACTGATACTAAACATTTGTGGTTTCTGAATGTACCATTTTAACTTTCTTCCTCTATCCTGTTTCATGCTGTTTCCTCTGTCCAGAATGCCCTTGCTGCTGTATCTTCACCTTTAATTCCTACTCAGCCTGTAAATCTCAGCTCAGTTGAGCCTCTTCCAGGACGGCCTCCTGGGCTGGGGCACTGGCATCTCTCCTTCCTCCAGGCTCCCAGCTTCTGGGATTTCCTCAGTCTCAGCACTGATTGCATGAGCTGGTCTGTCTGTGTTCCCCATTATACCGAGAGCACCTCAAGGGCACGACCTGCATCTGATCTATCTATGTTCCCAGGATCCAGAGGCAGCATCAAAAGTGAGGAGACCTGAAGTAGAGAGGTACAGGCAGCAGCAAACCCTTCTGAAAAACTAGTTGGAATCACATCCCAGTCAGACCACAGATCTTGTCTGTGCCACAGAAACATGACTTGTCCCCATGGGTGCCCCTATCAGTAGCCTCAGACCAGAGATCTTCCAGAAGAGGCTTGCAAGCTCCGCCAAGGGTGCTGACTTCTCATTTCCAGACCTGCCATGTGCTTGTTGCTCCCAGCTGTCCACAGCAGTCGAGCCTAAGGGCTGCAGAGGAACCTGTGGGAGCTAGTAACAAGTGGGCAGGGACAGCTGGATACAGGTACCTGGGTCAGGAAGATGGACTCTGTGCTCTTGGAGTCCTCATCTGATGGGTGCTCTGGGCTGAGACGGACAGCTGTGTCACTGAGGTGGGACAGGGTCTCTTCACTATGCACAGTGGAGTCGGAGCAGATGGGAGGCAGTGGCACGAAGGTCCGGCGAGACAGGGAAAGGCCTTCCAGACTCTCAGTGGGCATCTCTGACTCCACAAAAGTGCTTTTGGTAGTGGGCAGATCTTCAGCCAGCTCTGCCTCTGGCTCTAGCATATCCTTTGAGGGAGACTTGTTTGTGGTCACTTGTGGGTGATGGAGCACCAGAGGCTGCTTCGGCACCTTTGGGATTTCGGTTTTCACCTGTCATGGAGAAGGGCTGGAATGAATGTGCTTCCTAATCAGGAGTCTCTCCTCCTGGGCCTCACTAGCCTGAGGCCACTTGTATAGCAGCTGGAGTGCTGGGTACGGACTGACTGGGAGGTGGAAAGGGAAATCATACTTGTTGGGCATCTATGATGTGCCCCATGCATGATGTAAGTTGTTTTATTTCTACCTTGAAACTACCTAATGAATAATTATCCTCAATTTTATAGATGAGGAAACAGGCTTAGAGAGGTAAAATGACCTGTCCAAGTCCCAGAGTGATTCAGCAGTAGTGCCTGGATGATGTAATTCCAGTCCTGGGCTCCAGGCTTCATGCTGCATCCCTGACCATACATCACTCTGGCCCTCAGTAGTCTCACTCTTCAGATGAGGGTTTAACATGGTGCCTATGGCTTTCCCCAGGGACTCCGAGGAGAGGGTGTTGGGGAATGGTCCTGTATTTTCTGGAAGATGGCGGCACCAGGCCCCTTTCAGGGTGCTGGTCCCTATACCTTATATAAAGATCCGAAAGATAGATCTCTCTGAAGGTTCAGGACCAAGAAAATAACTTCCTTAATTAGTAAAAGCCTGTGACCATTCTCCCCGTCCTCCTCAGCTGCCAGGAGGTGTCCATGTGCCCAATTTACCTCAGCTAGGCTTAGTTCTTTCCCTCTCCCCCTTTACATAGTGGATTGTTTTCACTCTTTGTCAGAGGTATTTGGTTCACTTATATCTATACTTTTACTGAGAGATGTTAAGTTGCGTAGTGGAAAGATTCCAAGCACTGTAGTTAGAAAAATATGGGCTGGAATACAGGTCTATCCTTTGAGTTCCCATTTCCTCCTTGTGCCTCTCTCACAGAGTTCCACCAAATGAAATGGTGTGTGCAAATGTACCTAATGGACTAAGGAGGGCGAAGGATGACTTTTATAAAACATGTTACTTTAAAAAAAAAAAAAAAAAATCTCCTTTTGGAAAATATGTAGAACCTCAGTGTTTAGACTTGAAGCCTGAGGGACCCAGAGTCTTTGTCTGAATCCATGCCACAAGGCACAGGGCATGAACACAGCACTGCACCTCAGCATCTAAAACACCAAGTGCCATCACTTGGCAGCTGGCAGGAAGGGACAGTTCCCCTTCCCTCTCATGGCTCTGTGAGAGAGATGTGCTGGAGGAAATGCTCTTTCTCTATCCCACAGCTACTTTCCCCGCCCCTTTCCAAGGGAGGAATGGGTAACCTAACTGGCCAGAGGTTGGGTCACTGGGCCCTGCTTCAGTCATGGGCTGGATCTGCTCGTCAATGAGACCAGGCTATTTTATCTTCTATTTGTGTCCTCACATCAAAGGGCTCACACAGCTTCTTGGTTACAGGCCTGCTCTGGCAGGTTCTCCATTTTCCTCCTGTCTGTCCATGCCTAGGTGTGAGGGGAGGGGCTGCAGCCCTTGTCCATGTAACCCCAGGGGTCTAATCTGCATTTCTAGCCCCATCTCTGTATGCACAATGGGGACATGCAGGCATCCCCAGTCTGACTCAGGACTAAGCCACAATCTCCAGTCCAAGATAGAGGGTATTTGCCCACATTAACAAAGCATTGATTTGTTTCTCATTTGGCCACTGGCATCTGTGTTTATTTAACTCATTTAGCTCAAAGGTTTGTCAGAACCTTTGATGGGAGGAGGTGTGAGGGGTCCCCTAGGACCCACACTAACTTTTAACAAGTCAGTTCACCTCTCTGAGTCTGTTGCTTCATCTGCTGTGAGAATTATGAGATAGCATATATGCAAGGGCTCCACAGAGTCCTGGACATGGGGCTTCGTAAAGGAGAGAGAGGATTCTGCCCCTCCCTAGCTTGCTGATGGGAAATAATGGGGCAGATCCTTAAGAGGAGGTAACAGACAACAAGGAAGATGATGGAAACCTTGGAATTTCTATTTCTAACTTCAAATGCTTGTCCAGTCCTCTGAGGACGTCAGACAAGAGCCTGGCTGGACAGAGGCGGGCTGCAGAGGGGATGGCAAGGAAATACCTGTATTTAACTTTTGGGATCAGCAATGCTCAGCTCACCTTTTGGCTGTAGAAAGACTAAAGTTCAGGAGGGAGGAGCATTTCACAGAAATTTTTGAAATTCTTCAGATGAAAGAGGGATTTGACTTACTTTATGGCAAAGGAAGTAGACTTCTCTCAACATAAGGAAACACTTCCTTAAGATTCAGGCAGGAGATGTATTCCGGTCCTGGCTTAGCCATTTTTTTTTTTTTTTTTTTTTTTTGTAGAGACAGGATCTCACCCAGGCTGGTCTCAAACTCCCGCCCTCAAGTGATCCTCTCGCCTTGGCCTCCAAAGTGCTGCAATTAGAGGCGTGAGCCACCACACCTGGCCCATAGCCATTCTCAATTACTGTAGGTGACTGTAACTTTCAATGGTAAGAGTTTTGGGAGTTTAAAATATATTTTCAGATCTGTTGTTTTATCCAATGCTCTTCCCAAAGCAAGGAAAGGAGAAGGCAATGCTGAATCTAATGGAGAGATTCCAGGCACTGTGGAGTGAGCAGCTCTACAGCCAGGTTGGTTTACATACATTATAATAGGCTGCACTCTTCCTGGGGGTGAGAGTCCTGCCTTGGAAGCCCTACCTTCCGTGATTCCTTCCGAGACATCAAAACATGATGCTTAGGCTTTACTATCTTCCTTCGAATTAAGTGGATTCCCAGTCGCTCTTGGAGGAAGCTCTTCAGCAGAGGAGGGACCCCTGGTGCCATGATGGGAAAATAAGATTACTATTAGCTAAAATTTATACTGGGGCTTACTATGTGCCAGGCACTATTCAAACCGCTTTACATGTATTAATGAAACTTATTCTCAACCCTAGGGGTAGGTACCTCATTATTCCCATTCAATAGGCAAGGAAACTGAGGCACAGAGAGGCTAAGGAATTTGTCCAAGATAATAAAGCTACTGTGGAGTGAGGATCAGAACTTCACTGGTGTCACTCCAGGGCCCAGGACTCTAAAATGCCTCCAGCTCCTGTATCTTACACAGTTGCTCCACTGCTGACCACCCCATTCCTTGTGCTCTGGGAAGAGAGGCTCCTGCGGTTGGGGCTGCACCCCTCTGCAACTGGGAAGTGGGAAATGAGGTCATGACAGAACTGTTCCACAAAGCAGGGTGTGGTTCAAAAGAGCTCATACAGGATTTAGAGAATTCCATATTCCATTCCCAACTCAGACTCTTTCTTGCTGTGTGACCTTAGGCAGATCATGAACCTCCCTGCACCTCAGTTTCTACCGCTGTCCGTGGGGACAATAATGCCTGCCTCACAGGGTTACTGTCAGGATGAGCTGGTACAGAGCTATTTCCTCTACTCCTCAATGTACCATGAACCTTGTCCACCCTGACACAGAGTAGATCCCAGGGTTTGCCATTGATGAGGTGGGGATGAGGGTGCCACACTGCTCCTTGGGCACTGGGTTGAGAGGGGGCAGGTTTGCGGGCACCATACCTCGTGTATGGGCCACCAGAGGGTTGTTATGAAAGACGAATTCGCAGAGAGATGGGAAGAGAGCTACTGGTAGGACAGCATCCTCTTTTGCGATCTGTAATGAATGCAAGAGAGACTCTCAGGTTGACACCACCCCTCACCTCTACCTAGGTATGTCTAGGCCCCTCACTGCAGGGCTACATGCTTGCTAGGATTGGGGTTGGTATTGGGTAAGACATGCTGCTGTGGATGGGACTCGCTGCTGGGTGCTGCCTTGTCCCTACAATATCACCTACTCGTGCAGAGAGTGCCTTGCCCCTCTTGTCTGAAATTCCACCATCACTGTTGCGTGTTTAAGAGCTAAGACTTTTTCCTCTCTTTTCCATGCTGGATATGTAGCCTATATCAAGTATTAGGGAAGCTGGTGGCAAAATAATAAGAACAAACATTTGTGGTAAGAACAAACTCTTTATCTCATGAAGATTCTGGAAGGTTGACAGGGCATTGACTTTAACTTCAGGATACAATTTGACACTTCATTTTCCTCAACACAAACCTCTACACACTCCTGATGGCTTTCACTGAAGCCAGTCCTGGGCACTTCTCTGGGGATGGACAGGGGGAAAGGAGGACCCACACATCTAAGGGATAAGTAGAGCCAGTGTTAAGAGAGACCTCATGGCTGTCTGGGATACAGAGAATGCCCTGTGAAGCCAGCCTGCAAGTGGTGGCTTATTGGCCAAGCCAGCCTCTGAAGGGCAAAAAATATACAAGCTTTGTTGAGCAGACTGCCTGGAAAAGTTGGGGACCATCTTGGTGAGAGTATCTATTAGTAATGGAAAAGTATCAGGGACATCAGGATCGAAGGGACCAGGAGTCGGGCAGTGGCCTATCAGACCCCTGGACACACTGAAAGGTATTGGGTCAGATGTAGGACTCAATGAAGGTAGTAAAGTCCATGGGCTGGAAGAGGGAGGGCACTTCAGTTTAGCTTCCTCCGCAGCCTTACTGGATAGCACTAGATTTCCACTGAGCAACTAACTTCTCTTTCATTTTTATTCATTCAACCAACAAATATTTACTGAATACCTACCATGTGCCAAGCACTTTGTTGGGAATGAGCAAAACAGACACAATTTCTGCCCTCAGAGAGCACTGTCTAGTGGGAAACAAGCACTGGAGAGACAGTAACACAGGAGAATAGACTTACAATGTGGTAAGTGTCACAAGATAGGTGCATGAAGTAACAGGGTCATCTGACCCAGTCAGAGAGGTAAGAGGTGTCTCTGAGGTCTGAAGGAGGTAATTAGTGAACGCAGTGGGGCATGGAGTGTGTGGCAGAGAAACCTCTGTATTAACCAAAACCATTTCTCTACCTCTAGCACACGGATCTTATCTCCTAGCCTCCCAGGCAAGTACGTGTGGTCACGTGACCCAGTTCTAGCCAATGCAACTTGGGCAGTAGTAGTAAATGCTACTTCTATGTACAGTCTGTACCCTCCTGTACCTCCTCTACTTTCCTCCCTTTACCACAGTCCCCCTGCTCAACCATCTAATGGGATACATAGGATCCAGTTGAGTAGTGTTAAGACCCTATGAGATGACAGAACATAGCCAGAGGGGACCTGGGTCTCCGAATGATCATGTGGAAGGCTACCTGCCAATCAGGAATATCCAAAATGGACTTTGTAAAAGCAAGGAATACACTTTTATTGTGTTAAGTGATTAAGATGTTTAAGTTTGTTGCAGTAGCTAGTCTTACTTTAATGCAGAGAGGAAGTGTTCTATATATAAAGAGAAAAATGTGTGAAAGGCCTCATAGCCTGCTAGAGGGGTTTAAAGAAGGCTAGTGTAATTAAAAGCAGAGAGAATGAGGGCACCTGGTGCAAAATGGGGCTGGAAATGCAAGTAGGGGCCAAACAAAAGGTAGTTTAAGATTTGGGTCCTTGGGGAACTCATTAGATGGATTTTAGAAATATGAGGACCTAAATTTGACAAGACTTGGTGATGATGTAGATATTGGGGGGCAGAGGCGGAGGATGGGAAGGTGCAAAAGAGAGAGAAGTATCAAAGGTGACAACTGGTTTGTGCCTTGAATAACTGGATGGAAGATCAACCTATTCACTAAGATAGGACACAATGAAAGAACATAAAATTTGAAGAAAAAATTCATTAGCTTGCTTTGGGTATGTGTATGTTGGCGGTACCTTTGAGGCCTCCTGGAATACAGAGGAGAGGTCTGCATTAGAGTTAGAAATTTGTGAGTCACTGTTCATGGGCCAATGGGTATCTGAAGTCATCCCTAGGGAAACAGTAGGGAGTGAGAGAAAAGAAACTAGGAGTAAGCCTTGAGAGACTTTAACATTTGATCTTCTAGACCAGGGATCAGCAAACCTTTTCTGTCAAAGTGTTTTAGGCTTTGCAGACCATATGGTTTCTGTTGCAGCTATTCAATTTTACTATTGTTGTACAAAATCAGCCATAGACAATTCATAAATAGGTGTGGTGGCTTTTTTCCAATAAAATTTTATTTATGGACCCTGAAATCTGAATTTCATATAATTTTAACGTGTCATGAAATTTTATCCTTGATTATTTTCAATCATTAAAAAATGTAAACACCACTCTTAGCACACAGGCTGTACCAAAACCAGGACTGGCAAATACAGCGCATGGCCCAAATCTGGCCCATGATCCATTTACTGAAGTTTCATTAGAATACTACCTTTCTCTGGCTGGGCGCGGTGGCTCACGCCTGTAATCCCAACACTTTGGGAGGCTGAGGCAAGTGGATCACAAGGTCAGGAATTTGAGATCAGCCTGGCCAATATGGTGAAACCCTGGCTCTACTTTAAAACAATACAAAAAAAAAAAAAAAAAACCCACAAAAATTAGCCGGGTGTGCTGGCAGGTACCTGTAATCTCAGCTCCTTGGGAGCCTGGGGCAGAAGTATCACATGAACCCAGGAGGTGGACGTTGCAGTGAGCCGAGATCACGCCACTGCACTCCAGCCTGGGCAACAGAGTGAGACTCTGTCTCAAAAAAAAAAAAGAAAGGAAAAGAAAAAATACTACCTGTCTCATTTGTTGCCATATTGCCTTTTGTCCTACAAGAGCAGAGTTAAGTAGTTGCAACAGAGTAAAATATAAAATTCTGCTGCCATTATCTAGACTTCAGAGATAGAGGACGAACCTAAAAAGGTGCCCAATATGTTTTGATAAATGACTATAATGGTGGTCAAAGTGGGTGTAGAGTCTCTTGTGTGCAAATCAGGGGGTCAAGAGACAATCACTAAAGAATGGGAGATGCAGAATTTAATCTTATCAGGATGCAAAATTACATTCACCCAAACCAGGTGATTAAAAAGTTGAAGAAAATTACAATTAAAAATTGATTAAAAAATTGAATGATATTCAGGTCATGTGTATCACATTTTCTGTGAAATTAAGCCCAGCTGAAAGGTATGGGCTTAGGATTCTGGCTGATACAGCAAGCCGAAATCTGGCCATGGTGCTAGCCTGTTCCCTCAGGGTGAGCTGAATGCTTCTGGAGATGCATTCAGGTTCCAATGATAACTTTAAATTTCTTCTCAATCTCATTGGGTTAAGGAGAGTGTAACAATCCATCACATTTAGGAACTAAGTATTAAAGACCAAGTGAAAGTGATTATTTTACTTTTGACACAAAAATTTCTAGTGAATATTCTGAGTGATTTTCTGATGAATATTCTACATGTATAACTTCTGTTTAAAGGCAGAATTTATTTTGAAGTTTGTAACTTTAATAAATCGAATATTTCAACACAGCTGTATTATTTGACATGACTAAAACATCATTCATGGGGCCGGGCATGGTGGCTCACGCCTGTAATCCTAGCACTTTGGGAGGCCGAGGTGGGTGGATCACCAGGTCAGAAGTTCAAGACCAACCTGGCCAATATGGTGAAACCCCATCTCTAATAAAAAACAAAAATTACCCAGGTGTGGTAGCAGGTGCCTATAATTCCAGCTACTTGGGAGGCTGAGGCAGGAGAATTGCTTGAACCCGGGAGGAGGAGGCTGCAGTGAGCCAAGATCGCACCACTGCACTCCAGCCTGGGCGACAGAGTAAGACTCCATCTCAACAACAACAAAAATCATTCATTCATCTAACAAACTTGTTGAGCACCTATCATGTATCAGGTAATATTCTAGATAATGAGCCTATAGATGTAAGCAAAACAAAGTCCTAGTGCTAAAAAACGAAAGCACATTCTGGTAGTAGATACGTGACAATAGACAAAAAGATACAACACATTAGGTGGTAACTACCATAAAGTAAAATACCATTTAAAAACTCAGGTGCAAACATAGAAAAATGGAAGGAGTGCTGCTCCAGCCTTAAGAAAAAAACTGAATAATCTATAAAATCATAACTTTTCTTGAGTCCAACAGAGAGCTAACATCCCAGGACAATTGTGGCCTGAAATCTAAGAAAATACTGGCACCTCCAAGGAGAGGTGGGACATAGACACTGGCCTGCCTGCGGCAGAATGTGGCAGATGCGAGTGCCACACAAGCACTTAAGAAGAAATTAGGTAAAAATTTTAGTGAATTTATAAAGACCAAGCATGGCCTAGAGTAAACCCCTTTAAGCTGCAGACATCCAGAGAGTTCACGCTCACTAGTGCGAGAAAGATTGGAGGCAGGAGAGAGACTGATGACAGGCTTCCTCGGTGGTGTGAGCCTGGAAGAGGAGATAGCTCCCAACACAAAAAGGCAGGGGGCTTTACCAACCCTTCTCCATAGTTAACAAAAGCCTTCAGCTGCTGAGGAAGATCAGCAAACCCTGCAGCCTGGGGCACTGCATCTTGGGTAGGGAAAAAATTAAAACCCACTACTCCTGTGGTTGGAGCAGGAAACCAACCTGGGCCTAGCACATTAGAGGTCTCCTACTGCTAGGAGAGGGGTAGGACCACTGAAAAAAGCCCATCCTTGAGACACAGGGTTGGTCCCAGGGCTGCCTAAGACTGGCGCTAGAGCCTCCCTTTGGCCCCTACCACCACTTGTTACTTAGCAAGCACTAAGTAGCAAGCAAAAGCAGTCTACTGCTAGGGGGAGGAATGAGCATGTGGAGATAAACTCCTCTGAGGTGCAGGCACTCAGGGAAGAATGAAAACTGAGGACAAAGCAGGAAAACTGAGAAAAACACTGGCACCCTAGGAAAAACTAACTATATGCTGTCTAAAAGAGACACACCTTAACTACAAAGATATAAATAGGTTGCAAGTAAATGGATAGAAAGAGATATACTATGCAAACAGTATAAGGAAGCTATGTAGCTATATTTAAATCAAACAAAAAAGACATTGAGACAAGGAATATTATTAGAGGCAAAAAAAGGCAACTCATAATTTATAAAAGTATCCATACGTTAAGTACATATAACAATTCTAAATGTATCTGCATCAATAGCAGACTTCAAAATACATGGAGTAAAAACTGACAGAACTAAAAGGAGAAATAAGCAAATTCACAACTACGTCTGGAGATTTTCACACACTGCTCTCAGTGATTGATAGAACAACTAGACAAGAGTACAGAGAAGATCTGAGTGACACAACCAACCACCTTACCTTAATATTTATAGAACCCTTTCCCACAAAACTGCAGAATATACATAGTTTTTGAAATGCACATGGAACGTTCACCAAGACAGACTGACCATAGGGTGAATCATAAAACAAGTTTAAACAGATTTCAGAAGAATGACATCTTACAGATTATGTTATCTGCACACAAAATAAATTAGAAATAAATACAAGACACCTAGAAGAGCCCCATATATTTGGAAATTAACTAAGTTCTTAAAAACCTGTGGATCAAAGAAGAAATCATAGGAAAAAGTGAAAATATTTTAATTTAATGAAAATAAAAAGAAAATATATTACAATTTGTAGGACTCAGCTAAAGCAGTGCTTGGAGAAGAAATGTAAAGCTTTACTTGCTTATATTAGAAAGAAAGGTCTAAATCAATTAACTGAAATTATACTGCCTAAGATGTGAGAAAAAGAGGAGCAAATTAAAATCATTTTAAGTAGAAGAACAGAAGTAAAGTTACGAGCAGAAATCAATGAAATAGAAAACAGAGACATCCAGTGAAAGCAGCAGCTAGTTTAATAAGAGAAAGTCAATAAAAGAGGTAATGTCTAACTATTTTGGATCAATAGAAGACATAAATTACCAATTTCAAGAAAAGGGACCTGTGATACATCTATGGTCCACTGGTTTTCGGCAAGGGTGTAACAATGAGGGAAAGAATAGTCTTTCCAGTAAGTGGTGTTAAGAAAGCTGGATATCCACATGCAAAAGAATGAAGCTGATACCTGTTTCACACTATATATAAAGATTAAGTTGAAATAAAGACCTAAATGTAAGAGCTAAAACAATAAAACTTTTAGAAGAAAACCCCTGGGGAGTTTAGCTGTACCAGCTGCTTGCTGTAGAGGAATGTGAGCAGAGTATCTTACAAGTTTCCTGCATTTCAGACTTGAGTAGGGCTCAATTAGTGGGATTTTACAGAAAACCAAACAGGACATGAATATTGGAAAAATATGTTAAATCTGTCCCTTAGACTTTGTATCTGCTGTTCCCCTTAAGCTACATTTCTACCCTCACTTGACTCACCCCTCTTCACCTGATTAAACTCACTGATTCAGATCTCAGCTTAAACACCACTTTCTTGAGAACCTTCCTTGATCCCAAGTATTAGGTTAGACACCTCCCCTCCATCATTTACTTCATAACACGGTGAATTTCTTCATAACACTAAGCATGCTCGTATTGTGATTATTTGTCCCTATCAGTCTTCCTGTCTTCCTTATAGGTGATAAGTTGCAAAAGGGCAGAGGCCAAGTCTCTTTCCACAGCAGTATACCTAGTGCCTACCACAGAGCCTGACTCATGGTAAGTGCTAAATAAATATCTGTGACTGAAGAGATGGACTCCTGCCTTGGCCTGAACTCCCTCCACTTTCCCCACCCTGAGAATTCCTGAGCCCATGTACCTGTAATGCAGGGAATTGAATGGAAGGTTGGTTTTTAGGCCAGAGCAACTTGCATCCCACCCTCCCATCTGTGCCCCTGAGGAAACAGTAGAGGAGCAAAAAGTCACCTTGTTGTAGGCCAGGCTAAGGTATCTCAGCTCTGGGAAGGGTGGGGCCAGCGTCTGGTTCCTGGCCTTCAGTGACTTCACAGGAAGGATCTCGAATATAGGAGGAAGTGAACATATCTTGGTTGTCTTAGAAAGAAGGAAAAGTCAAAATCAAAGTGCCCGATAATAAATAAGGTCACTAAGGGCCAACAGACCCTTTCAATGGAACAGGGTGGAATGAATGACCTTCCTAGAGAGACTTGGCCAAAAAGAGACATGTAGGGTCATAAGGTTAGATGTCACCATCAGCCCAGAATTCTGGCTCCAAGTTCTCTTAGGTCATATGATGAGCTAATTCTCAAGCACCCAAAGTTCCATTTTCAAGTTTTCTGAGGCCACAGGATAATACAGCACTGGTGCAGACATCAGAGGTACTTGGTCCCCACCCTCTCTGCCCTACAGCAGCTTACCCTGAATTGGCCCTTCTACACAGTTGGGCTAAAATTTCTCCAGAAGGCAAAGGGGAAGGTGCTTGTGTCCTTAAGGGGAATTTTTCTAGTGGGGAGAGGGAGAGGGAGGTGTCTTGAGCCTTGAACACCTGCTTTGATGGGCTAGCCCACATCCTCGAGTTGGAGGGTCTTCATTTGAGGATGAAACAACAGTCTTGAATGACTTCAGCCGGCCCGTGGGGGCTGAATGTGGCATGCTGCATCTGGATCCCTTCTTGCAGGGTCATGTTCTTTTCATACAACCCAGACTGCCACAGGTTCAACATATTTGATCAAGCAGAAAAAGGTCATTGTTGGTTTAACTATACATAACTCACTACACTCACTAATTCCTGAGTTCAATGGGACCACAGGATATTATAAGGGTAGATGTTGGGCTAAGGGTTAGGTTCAGATGAACTAGATTCTGTCTTAAGCTGAATTAATTAATCACTATGGAATCTTGAGCAAGTCACTTAAATTTTGCTTGTTCATTCAATGAACATTTATGGGGCACTTACTTTGAGCCAAGTATTTTTGTACCCTTCTGGGTCAACCTGTAAAACCATATGAGTGGACAGGTCAGTCACGGGTGAGAATAAAACAAAAACCAGTGATGGTGTTTGGGAACTCAGATGACTCGCCTCTCCCAGTGATCCCAAGGCAATCTCTGAGATGCAAGAGTGGAATGTGCTGGCAGTCTGATAAGGCAGTCTCCTCCACTATGTAATTCCCTACTTAGAGCAAGGCTGTGTGAACTGAAGGGGGTAAGTCAGACTGCAGTACAGACAAGGAAAAGCCAGAGAGTCAAGATGAGGAGTATCCTGACCCAAGGGCATAACTGGCCCTGATGGGGGCAGAGAGGGCCCTGTCTTAGAGGGAGATGCATCTGATTTTAAGAGAAAGGCCACTAAAAGTCTCAACTATCCAACTCACTTTCTAGATTTTCAGATGTCAGAGAGTTGATCTGAGCACTGAGCAATCCTACAAATTATCTTTGACTTGTGAGGTAGACTGTATAATGGCCACAAGCCCCTCCATCCCACATACATGCCCTTTTGCAGTGTGACCTTGCTGCTCCTCCCATTCAGAGGTGGAGACCATGTGTCTACCCTCCTGAAATTAGACTGGCTGTTACATAAGAAACAATTTGTCTGGTCTTTGTCCCAGGTTCCTGGCACTGAGTTTCTAAAACCTTGGAATTTTCTAAGTGATAGGAATATCTTTGTTATGCAGGACCCCTTGAGTCACACCTGAGTTTAGGGTAATGACATGACTCAGGATGGAGGCTGGCCATGCCAGAAAGACTAACCATGTGACTAGAGAGTTGGGGCTTTGCACCAGCCTGACCCCTGGGGAGGATAAGGAACTAGAAATTGAGTTCAATCAGGTGGCCAATGAGCCTCCAATAAAAACTCTGGACTCTGAGGTGTGGGTGAGCTTCCTGGTTGGTGAGCACATTCAGTGTGCTGGGAGGGAGACATGCCCTGATTTCACAGGGAGAGGCAAGAAAGCTCTCAAACCTCACCTTATATGCTTTTCCATTTGGCTAGTCCTGATTCGTGTCATTTACAGCTGGGGTCCCCAACCCTCGGGCCACAAACCAGTGCCAGTTCTTGGCTTATTGGGAACTGGGCCGCACAGCAGGAAGTGAGCAGCAGGTGAGTGAGTGAAACATCATCTGTATTTACAGCCACTCCCCATTGCTTGCATTACTGCCTGAGCTGCACCTCCTGTCAGATCAGCAGTGGCATTAGATTCTCACAGGAGCACAAACCCTACTGTGAACTGGGCATGCGAGGGATCTAGGTTGTGCGCTTGTTATGAGAATCTAATGCCTGATGATCTGTCACTGTCTCCCATCACCCCAAAATAGGACCGTCTGGTTGCACAAAAGCAAGCTCAAGGCTCCCACTGATTCTACATTGTGGTGAGTCGTATAATTATTTCATTATATATTACAATGTAATAATAACAGAAATAAAGTACATAATAAAAGTAATGCACTTTAATCATCTGAAACCACCCACCCCACCCCAGTCCATGGAAAAATTGTCTTCCACAAAACTGGTCCCTGGAGCCAAAAAGGTTGGGGACTGCTGCATTATAGTAAAACTGTGATTGTAAGTATAACCCTTTGCTGAGTTTTATAAGTTGTTCTAGAAAATTACTGAACCTGAGTGGGTTGTGGAAACTCTTGAATTTATCACCAGTTGGTCAAAGTGTGGATAGCCTGGGGACTCCTAAACTTGTGGCTGGCTTCTGAAGTGAGGGAAATCTTTTTGGGAACTACCCTCACTTGTGGGCTCTGTGCTTAACTTGTGGGGTCTGCACAAACTCAAGGGTCAGCGTCAGAATTGTACAGCAATATAATACTGGGCTTTTGACTTGCTTTGACCAACAGAATGTGGAGAAGTGACACTATTTCAATTTTAGAACCTTTCAATTCATCCTTGCTCTCTTGAAACCCTGATGCTGTAATGAAACCATACTGCAATGTAGCCCAGGAGGAAAAGACCACAGAGAAGATGCCAAGCCATGCCAGCTGTGTCCTTGAGCCCAGCCGACAGCTACCCTGCCAGCTAAATGCAGTTGCATGAGTGAGCCTTGGCGAAGCCAGTAGAATCACTTTGTCAACTCAATTGTGAGTGGTGAAAAATAATGAATTGTTACTGGGTTGGTTTGAGTAAGCAGCTATAGTTAACTGATAGAATTTCTCACACAGTTGTATCTGTGGGGAGGTTGTATACTGAGTTGCCTCTCAAGGATGCAGGTTGGCTAAATGAAGAGATATACTATTTATTGTAAATGAATAAATCAATATTTAGTTTACATGCACCAGTCTCCATGAGTATCTGCCGTGAGAGAAAAAACAATTTTCTATGCTAACAAAAATCAAGGGTCTAAGCCTGTGACATCAAGGATTAGGTCCTGGATAGTGGTGTATCTGGCAAGGACTTTTCCAGCTTTGGGGGACTCTAGTTAGGGAGCTGCTGGTAGCAGCCCCACTTCAATGCCAATTTTATCACTTGAGGCAGCTGCCATTATTACATTATACTAAACAGCATGTGAGAACAATGGAAGTTAGACTAGGCAGGTAAGGTCAAGACATGTCTGTCTGTGGCCAGCACAGGACCTGGTACATGGTAGGTACTTGGCAACTACCTATACAATGAATGGGCTTCCTAAGTGTGATCTATAGAAATGACTCTCATGGCTCCATTAATTTATTTCATTTTGTCTATTAAAATTAATGTTCTAACTCAGGAACACAAATATAAAGTAGTCAGTTCCTACCTCTGAGGTTGAAAATCCAGGGTAAGACGAAAACACAACCTCTGAAACAGAAGATAAACAGAATGAAGGTTGGTGACAGCATTGACTGATGCCTAGAGCACCCTGGATATAGATCTGCCATCCACTGTGTGCAGCAGGGCACCTCCTAGAGGGAGTCCTCATTGGTCCCCGGCCCCAGTGCTAACTAGGAAGAAGAGCTGGCTGTGACATGCATCAGGTAATAAGTCCCTTTGCACTAAGGATAAAATACAAACTGCTTATCCAGTCCTCTGAAGTCCTGCATGATTGGGCCCCTGCCTACTTCTTCAATCCCATTTCTTGATACTCTCTCCTTCATTCACTGTATTTCAGCCACACTGACCTTTTATCTGACTTTAAAACACCTAAGCACTTTTGAGCCTCAGAATTCCTGGGGAGTCCATACTGAGCAGAAAGCTAACCAACTGTCTTAGAAGAGAAAAATGTATATAGAAGACATTCTGTCAGAGGATTTGGAAATATTTGTTATATTAGTAGAAACAGAATGAGTTGAGCCAGTATATTCAGGAGAGATACCAAGAACAACCAGCACAAAGTCATAAGGAGGAGGCTGCAGAGTGATTTCATTCTTGGGACCATCAGAATGAGATGAGTCAATAAACAGCTGAGTTCAACCTAACACAGCATAGCATCTGATGGGACTAGATCCTGTGCAGACATTGCTCACCTTTACCCTAGTTAACCGATCTACATGTTAATGATATTATAATGAGAAAAGTCACATGACAATGAAGAAAACAGTAATAGGGGATGGAACAACATGGCATAAATAACTTCTCCTGTGATGAGGGTCTGCAAGGGAGTTTGGGAAAGCCTTGTGCAATGAACAAAGTAGGAATTCCCTGGGGGATGGGCCATGGTTGCAAGTGTGAGTGCTAATCTGTGAACCCTAGAAAACGACAGCAACTCTAGAAAGATTGGCACACTGTCTGATTGCGCATCCTGCTTTCCCCACAATCACAGGAATTACTGCATTTTAAGCTTCTGATTGAGCATTGTTATACAAACAGACTAAACAATCAAGAATCTCTTACTATTTGAGGAAAATTAACAATATAAAAAAGAGAAGAATTATCACCTGAATAAAAAGTTTATTTAACAAAAGTTATAAAAACTTCAAAATAGAATAATCAGTATCCTCTGAGAAATGCCAAAGTTTCACTCCTGAAACAAAAGCAGATTGCTGTGGAAGCAAAACTACTAACAAAGCTGTAAATTTATAATGAAAATAACTCATACATGTGCTGGATAGACGAATGGACCCAGTTGAAGAACTAATTCATAAAATGGAAGACTGAGTGGAGAGACTCTCAGAATGCAAAAAGGCAGAGAGAAGATGGTGGAATAGAAGATAACCCACTCATGTCCCCTCACAACCACAAAAATTCTACACCCGCCCACAGTCAAAAGTCTCTCTGCAGGAGCATCAAGATTCAGGTAGGAGTTTGTGAAACGCTGGTGGATTCCAAGACCTTGAAGGATTGTTTTGAGAGTACAGACCAACACCAGTGGCTGATCCACCAAGCTTGCTCCCCAGTTCAAGCCTAGAAACAGCCCAGGCTTCCAAGGTCCTGGGCTACAGCCATATTTGGCCTTAAGCCTGCAACCAAAACCATCTGCAGAGAGGTCCAGAAGGAGTAGTGCACACTAGTGCCTTGGTGGAAAGGCTTGTCTGCCTGCTGACATCGGTCTTGGCAGTAAGCCTGAAAGTTGCCCTGTTTTTCTGATCCAGCCCCTCTCAGCTGAGGTCCCTGCTCACCGCCTCTTATACAAGGAACTAGAGGGAGACTCACCCATATCTCGCAGCCTGAGGCTCCCAGATGAGTTTACCAACCTCTGTCCCACAGCAAATTCCAAGGGGACCCAAGTCTCAGACTTGGTCCCTCCAGCTGCAATCAGAGAACTAACCAGACTGTGCAGGGACTTGCTGGAAGACACATGCCCCTCTAAGCCAATGAGACTGGGCTTTCTAGCCTTCACCCTACAGCAAATCCTGAGAGAGCCCAGTCTCAGCTCTGACCCCTGTCACTACAGTGGAGAATTATCCTGTCTGTGCTGAGACCTGCTGGGAGACACATGCCTGTCTGGGCCAACAAGATGGGCTCCTTCCCATAGCAAATCCCACGGGGGCCCAGTGTCAGCCCTGGCCCCTCCTGCTGCAATCAGGTAACTATCTCATCTGCATAGGGATTTGCTAGGAGACACATGCCCCTCTGAGCCAGTGAGACTGGGCTCTCCAGCCTCTACCTCACAGCAGATCCTGAGGAGGCCCAGTCTGCGATTTGGCCCCTCCTGCTGCAGTCAGGGAACTATCCTATCTGTGCAGGAACTTGCTGGGCAATGTGCACCTCCCTAAACCAAGACAGGGCTCTCTAGCCTCTGTTCCACAGCAGATCCTAAAGAGGCCTATGGTCAGTTCCAGCCCCTCCCACTACAATCAGGGAATTATTCCATCTGTGCAGAGCCATGCGGGCAGCTGTGTGCCTGTCTGAACCACCATGACAAGCACACCAGCCTCCATCCCACAGCAGATCCCAAGGGGGCTGTCTCAGCTCTGGCCCCTCTTGTTGCAGTCAAGGAACTACTTGTGCAGGGACCTGCTAGGTGACATACACCTGTCTAAGCCAATGAGATGGACCACCAGCTTCATTCCTACAGCAGATCCCAACATGCCCCAGTCTTAAATCCAGTCCCTCTGGCTACAGCTTTTGCAACTCTCTCAGTCTTTGCAAGACTTGCAGCAAGCCTGGGTTTAGACCATCCCTCAGTGCTGAGATGCCAGTAGTGGTCCCAGGCTCACGAAACATAAGTCAGTCTGCTTAGAATCCCTGGAAGTCCCTCTGAAGAAGGACAGGCACAAACAAAGCCAGACTATAAAGGCAAAAATAAATACCTAATATTTCAAGGCAAGGACATCGCACTTCTACAAAAATCAAGAACATTCAGAGAAATATGACGTCACCAAACAGACAAAATAAGATGCCAGAGATCAACCATAAAGTAATAGAGATGTGTGATCTCTCAGACAAAGAATTCAAAAGAATATTTTTTGGGGTTTCTTCTTTGTTTTTTGTTTTGTTTTGTGCTTTTTTTGGAGACAGGCTCTCATTCTGTCACCCAGGTTGGAGTACAGTGGCACAAACATGGCTTACTGCAGCCTCAACCTCCTGGGCTCAAGCAATCCTCCCACCTCAGCCTCCCATGTAGCTGGGACCACAGGCATGCACTACCATGCCTGGCTATTTTTTAAATTTTTTTGTAGACATGGGACTCTCACTTTGTTGTCCAGGCTGGTCTTGAACTCCTGGGCTCAAGCAATCTTCCTACCTCAGCCTCCCAAAGTGCTGAGATTATAGGCATGAGTTACCATGCCTAGCCAAAACAGATGTTTTAAGGAAGCACAGTGAACTTCAAGAAAACACAGAGAATCAATTCAGAAATTTACCAGAAAAATTTAACAAAGAGATTGAAATAATTAAAAAAAAAAAAATTCAAAGAAATCCTGGAATTGAAAAATATAATGCATGAAATGAAAAAGGCAATAGAGAGTATCAACAGCAGAATTAAACAGAAGAATCAGTGAGCTCAAAGACTATGAAAATACACAGAGTAGAAAAAATGAAGAAGAATGAAAAAGAATAAAGAAAGCTTGCAGGATTTATGGGACAACATCAAAAAAGAAAATATTTGGGTTGCTGAAGTTAAACAGGGATATGAGAAAGACAAAGGGGATACAAAGCTTATTCAAAGAATAACAGAAAACTTTCCAAATCTGGAGAATGGGTGGGTGTACACATATCCCACCATGCCATTACTGCCAGCATAAGCACATCCACTTCCACTGTCACCACACTGCCACTGCCAGCATGAACATTAAGCATGGACACCAGTGGCCCTGCACCCTGGCCCAAGCTACCACTGGGCCATCCAAAGGATGGCACCTTCAAAGACTGAAGGATTACCAGCCCACACAGATGAGAAAGAACCAGCCAAGAACTCTGGCAAATCAAAAAGCCAGAGTGTCTTTTTACCTGCAAATGACCACACTAGTTCTCCAGCAATGGTGCTTAAACAGGTTGAAATGACAGAAATGGAATTCAGAATATGGATGGGAATGGAGATCACTGACATTCAGGAGAAAATTGAAACCCAATACAAGGAATCTAAGGAATAAATAAAATAATACAGGAGATGAAAGATGAAATGGCCATGTTAAGAAAGAAGCAAAGTGAGCTGATACAGCTGAAGAATTAACTTCAAGAATTTCAGAATACAACTGCAAGTGTTAACAGCAGAATCAACCAAGCTGAGGAAAGACTCTCAGAGCTCAAAGACTGGCTCTTCAAAATAACTCAGTGAGACCAAAATAAAAAAATGGTAAGGAAGAATGACCAAAACCTCTGAGAAATATGGGATTATGTAAAGAGACCAAAGATATGACTCACTGGTATCCCCGAAAGGCAGGAAGAGAAAGCAAGCAACTTGGAAAACACATTCCGGTTATCATCCATGAAAATTTCCCCAACCTTGCTAGAGAGGCCAACATTCAAATTCAGGAAATGCAGAGAACCCCTGTGAAATACTACACAAGAAGACCATCCCCAAGAAACATAGTAATTGGATTCTTCAAGGTCAAAATGATAGAAGAAATGTTAAATGAAGCTAGAGAGAAAGGGCAGGTCACCTACAAAAAACCCCATCAACTAACAGCAGACCTTTCAGCACAAACCAGAAAAGAATGGGGGCCTACAGTCATTCTTTTTTTTTTCTTTTTTTCTTTTTCTTTTTTTTTTTTTGAGACAGTCTCACTCCCATCATCCAGGCTGGAGTGCAGTGGTGCAATCTTGGCTCACTGCAACCTCTGCCTCCCAGGTTCAAGTGATTCTCATGCCTCAGTCTCCCAAGTAGCTGGGATTACAAGCATGTGCCACCACACCTGTCTAATTTTTTGTATTTTTAGTAGAGACAGGATTTCACCATATTGGCCAGGCTGCTCTTGAAT